ATAATTATATTGTATAAACGTGATAACTTATATGCTTTATTCAGTAGTAACCGCGAGACTTATTTAAGATGAAGATGTTTTTGCTCTAAGTAGGTTTTTGAAGGAAGTGGAGAGAGGATGGCTGAACAGATTCCTTACAAAGCGCAGCGCATCAGAGTCACTGTCTGTCACACATGAAGGTGGGGCTCCAATTAAATGTTTGATTGAACATGAGAACTATCCTGACATCCTTATCCAGGTAATCGTAGGACGTTTTCACTCACTGCATGTCTTCTCCTCAGCAGCACAATGGAGAGTTTACCGGAGTTGATCAAGTTTTACTTTATTGTCGGTCTAATACAGGAGAGATCCCGATGCTGCTGCACACTGGAGGAGATCAGTATTAGCATGAACACATTGAGAAGAATCCTCCACAGAATGGGACTCTATGGAAGAAAACATCAATTAGATCTTCTAGATGCAGAGGCCTTCCTCTTTGACCAGCTGGAGAGATACCTGCACGGATATACGTTTCACCGCCTTAAATGTGTTCAACATGGATATGCTGGGACTCAGAATACAGTGAGACATCTGTTATCATTTCTGGACCCAAGGGGTGCAGAACGAAGGCAGAGGAGGAGGCTGATGCGGCGCGTATTGATCCTGGACCTCATTTCTTCCATGAAGCTGAAGTTGACTTCCGATTGCAGGTTCTGCTCCTTCAGTAGGGTGACCAAACGTCCGTATTTCCCGGGACATGTACGTATTTCACGTCCTGTCCCGGGCGTCCCGGGTTTTTTTTAGAAAGTCAGGAAATGTCCTGATTTTTTAAATTACCTCCATTGGACCATTAAATTTACAGGCACTAGGGCACTGCGCACGGCTGCGCACGGTGATGTAATCCCTGAGCCGCGTCAGTGCGGGCAGCTCTGTTCCGAAGATAGATAGCGTGGCTGTCAGTCCGCCAACAACATGCCAAAGCGCAAATGTATGTTTGCCGACGATTTACAAAAGAGTTTCCCCGCTTTCAGACCGGGTCGAGACACAATGGGAGGCCTTGTGCACAGTGTGCAAAGCAGGCACATATGTCTCGGTGTCCAATGGAGGTGCAAGGGATCTGAAAAGCCACCTGGA